CGACACAAAAGGAGATGGACTGCACCGGTTAGACAATGTTGACTGGTTGAAGTCTGATGACCGATGACAATTATGGTTTGGATTGGCTCATTTAAGAAGCAAAATGTTGCAAATGGATGTGTTTATATCGATTTCTGTGTAGTGATTTTAAAAAAGTTACAATTTTAAATTAAATAACATAACAGTTCTTTTTTATAACGGTTTCATTTCTACTTAAATATAAATGCATAGTTGAATGACCAAATTTAAGGGTTTTTTGGCAAAAATTTGATTTCTGACGATCCTAATCGGCATTCACACGGAACCCGCCTTCAAAAACACCAATTTAATGAGGCATTTTTAGCTCACTCGATGGTTGAATCTACCAGGAGAAAGATCGAACCTAATACTGTCTTATATCTGGATAAAGTCACTCCGCACTTTTGCCCTAATTTGGAGGTTTTAATTTTTGATTAACTTCAAGATTTCAAGAAAACCTAACCTAGGTTTGTCAAAAATTGAACTTACAAATAATTTTCATTTATCAGGGCATTTGGCCTAGCGGTATGTGGGTCTTTGACCTCAAAGGAAGTCAGAGGTTCAAACCTCACCAAATGTGAAGAAGATGTACGATTATTTGTTCTATTTGCCATATATAAATACTATATACTTCTAAAAAATTTCATTTCATTTAAGTGTAAGTTTCAAATTCAATTAGTGGTCAACCTCTTTGTTGAAAACAAAATGACTTTGCTTTCGTGTTGTTGATATCAGAATAATTAATAATCTCTATCAATGATTTCACATTCTCACTCGTTCAAAATATTGATTGTATGTGTTGACAAATAAAGAGTGCTCGGTTAGCGGGATTCTGGTAGAATCTGGAAAAACTGGACTGGTCACTTCCGTTCATCAAATTCTATTATGACATTTGTTCTATATATGGAATGAAATTGGATTCCACACAATACACACACACACACACACACACACACACACACACATATATATATATATATATATATAGTTTGTTTCAAATGCAACTAATCGCATTTGTACAACCAATACAACCCAATAAATTGAGATATTTATGAAAATGATGATAGTTAATTTATAATGATTTAAATATTTATGGAAGATGAATATGGTTCATTAATGATGATCAATACTTTATATTATGAAACAATCAAAACTTTTATGAAATCATATATTTATCAAATTAAATGGACGATTGATATTGAGTTCTATTGGTTGTACAAATGTAAAGGGTTGTATAATAACCCACCTATATATATATATATATATATATCTCATCAATGTATGCAATTATATTATATAGAATATGTTATTTTTCAAATCGTGAAATATTTGAGAACTAATGCATAATATGTTATTTCATATTATTTTTCTTATGCATATAATTTAATGTAGAGAACATATATATGTTTTACAATTTGTTTGTTTCACATATACTCAGTTCAAAATGTAAGCCTTTTTGACGTGTTTATGAACCAAAAAATACGTGTAAAAAAGTTTCACATTATGAACCAAACACATTGTAAAATAAATATATATATATATATATATATATATATCAATCAATTTATTTACTCAACTATTTATTATATTAAAGGGAAATGAATTAAAATATTCATATCCACAACACGTTTTCACATCTTAGCCATTTCTTTTTCAATATAACAAAAATAGTCATAAATCTGCAATTGACATGTCTGCAATTTACGAATGGATCAAAATGTAAGAAAAAAAGTTTTTGAACTAGGTCCAGTAACATATTTTTGCGGACCTATAACTGATTTATATATTTGGTCCCTATAATTGCAAAAACTGGTTAAGAAGTAAAATTTTAAATAAAATACAATATTTCTTCTCGAAAAGTCTAGAAAACGGCGTGCTTGGTTATTAAATTAGAAAATGTGGTTAACGTTCGTCATCAATGACCATTTTCAAGAATTCATATAATATAATTTCTATTACAACTTTTTTTTTTTTTGATAATTATTATGATGTAAAAATAAGCAAAAAGTCTTTTAAATGTATTATGCGCTAAATTGCAAGTAATTCGATTGAATTTTTAATGTAATATATTAAAGTGTAAATTGCATGAAAAAGTAATCTACTTTAATTTGATTTTTATTTTAAGTAATGTATCTTTAAAACTTTTATGTTGGTATCTAAGATGTAAAGTTTTAAATATTTTAGCACCCGGGTAACCGGTTATTATGTTGATGTGACGAGTGATATGATGAAATTGATTGAATAACAAATAATACTGAGTTAGATATTACATCACTCGTCACATCAGCATGGTAACCGGTTAATGCTTCAGCTGGTTATCCAGGTACTTAAATGTTTAATACTTTACATCTTAGGTACCAAAATAGAAATTTTGAAAATGCGCTACTTTTTTCATGCAATTTGCCCTATATTAAACAATTTAGACGAGAGTAATGTTAAAACAATTTGTGGTCTGGTTTGAGCGTTTTGACCTCTCAAACCATAAACCAAACTGTAATGATAGTTTATGAATTTTTTTAATTATATTGTAAAATGAGATAACAAAAATACACACACACACACACACACACACAYATATATATATATATATCCACGTCTTCTACACGTTCGATGACGAAATAAATATTTATAATCTCTAAAACGAGTATTTTTCTTTGATAAATTAGCTCAAATGGCGCATCTAAACTGGTCTTCTAACCATTTCTCTCTCAGGGTGACACAAATGTCATTACTTCCATGATATCCAGATCTGCAATAGCTCAAAAGACGAAAAAAAAAAGACCAGATTCAACCAGTTTACCGTCGTAATTACCGACATAACTGTCGCAATTACATATCTGGTTATCGCATTTGTGTTGAATTTGTTGAGCAAGACTTGTATATCATTTAAACTTTTACTTTTAATTAATTAAAAAAAATACTTTTTATTGAAATTTCTTTGTGCCCAAGAATTCGGTAATAGATAAAGTATTCTATTTATATTGGGGGGTTAGCTAAGCCTCATATGACAAATTCACTCACGTTGGACAACAGCTGCTGCTCGGCTCAGCCGCCGCCTCCTTTAATTTTCAAAAATCAACCTCGTCAATTAAATACAACCCTTTTTTTTTTCTGAACCATGTATTTAAATACTACTGTAAATTTGTAAAAATCGATTCTTAAAATATTTCATAAGGTTTTATTAATAATGATGTTTCAATTTTTTTTGGAGGTCCTGTTATATTCAAGCTTTTAATTATATTGTAAAATGAGATAACAAAGATATATATATATATATATATATATATATAAATTACAGATGTGATGATAAGACTTGTTATTTTTATCTTACGATAGAAATTAAAGAGGTGCCGTTGGATTATACTTTTTATGTTAGTTTATGAGATGTCTTAAACAATGTAAAATTGGCCTCAAAACTTTGAGGCTCTGTTTGAAATCACACATTTAACATGTTGAAGAATGACTCTGAGATTTAATGTATTGTTTTACACACACACACACACACACACACACACACACACATACATATATATATATATATATAGTTGGGTTTACGTGAGACCAACTTATTTTCGTGAGATCCGTGTGATCATTTTTTTACATTTGAAACTTCATAACAAAACATTGTGAAGGTAAAAAACCAAACTTTCAAAACAAAAACACTATGAAGTTTCATGTGTTAAAAAGTAGTCTCACGAAAACATGTTGGTCTCACGTGATCCAAAAAATATATATATGTGTGTGTGTATATTTATCATACTATTATAGTTTTATATGCATTTGTTTCATGATATGAAATTTTCACGTGTATTTTTTGTTTATTATGTAAAAAAACCTTCTCATTATTATTTTTACAATGCAAGCACAAACACATATGAAACCATATTTTAAATCATGACATTTGATTAAAAATAACATTTACACAGTAGGAACACTCCAATTTTTATTAAGACTTTGTTACATTTAAAACTTTTGATTATACTGTAAAATCTCATTATCTAAACCTAACTTACATAAAAAAATAACGATATTTAAATATATTGATATAATGCCCTAAACACATGTAAACTTGAGTCTGAAAATTTTGGGGCCTGTCCACATATTTAACATGCGGAAATTCTCTAAGACAGAGAAAATAGAGTTTTTGTTCTTCTATTTTTTGCCAACAGATTCTCTGTGATGTTATCAGAAATAGAGAAATCAGTAGAAAACTACAAGTTTAAAAAGTTCTCACTTGTTGTATATAGAGAGAAATTAACTTTTAATTCATACCCATCAATGAGATTGAATTATAATATATAATATCTTTTTAAATTGTGCAGTGGGAGTATGATAATATAACAAATGATAAGTTGTATGAAAAAGTAACGTACTTTAACTTGATTCTTATTTTGGGTAGCATACTTTTAAAATTTTCATTTTGGTATCTAAGATATAAAGTTTTAAACATTTAAGTAACCGGGTAACCGGTTGAAGCATTAACCAGTCATCATGCTGATGTGGCGAGTGATGTGATATTTAACTCGATATTATTTGCTTACGTGGTTAATGACATGGATTTTTTTTAATCTAAAATTAGTTTTCAATCGGTTATCCGGGTACTTAAATGTTTAAAACTTTACATATTAGGTACCAAAATGAAAGTTTTAAAAATACGTTACCCAAAATAAAAATCAAGTTAAAGTACGTTACTTCCTCATGCAATTTGTCCTATAACAAATGTTGAAATATTTAAAATAAATAATTTGCTGGAATCAAGTTAAGGTACGTTATACTGCTAATTTGATAATAATATCGATATATTTTTATCGGATCTTTAAATTAAAAACCTGTATTATAAAATTAGGGAAAAAAACAAAATTGATATCTCAGTTGCTTTGAATTCCAGCTCGAATACGAAGACTCCAACCATCCATTCCTATATAAACACACCAATTCTCTTCACACCAAAAACAAACACCCACCATTTTTAACACATTTCTACACAACCCCTAATTTTTAGGGACTTTGATTCAAAACCCATTTGGTTTTCACACCAAATTCATCATCTCTTCACAAATTTCCAGATACCCATTTCGATTTTCGACCCATTTTACAAGAATCAAGGGGTTCTTCCCCTAAAAACCACCAAAACCTACAAAGATCTTCACAAATTTTAGGGTTTTGATTAGGGTTTTCTGTGATTGAGACTTGAGAATGGATGGAAGTGATATATATAAAGCTAGTAGCAGTATAAGGTTAGGAAGTGTAAAGGGTGTAAGTGGAAGAACATCAAGTTTAAGATCTGGAAGTAATTCTGTATGGAGGAATTCAGGCATGGATGTTTTTTCGAAATCATCTCGTGAAGAAGACGACGAAGAAGCTCTGAAATGGGCGTCACTTGAAAAACTTCCGACGTTTGATCGATTGAGAAAAGGATTGTTGTTTGGATCGAGTGGACCTTCGAATGAAATCGATATCGATAACCTTGGATTTGAACAAAGACAGCATCTGCTTGATCGACTTGTCAAAGTTGCTGATGAAGATAATGAGAAGTTCTTGTTGAAGCTCAGGAACAGAATTGATAGGTATTCATCTCCAATCCATCACGTTTAATAGCTATGTTATCGTTACAGGGTGTGTTTGGGATTGCTTAATTTTTTTTTACAAAAGCATTTATCAATTTATTAATGGTTTAACTTCTTTAAAAACAACTTGTTAATGGTTTGATACCGATATAACTTGTTTATCCAAACACTTAAAAAGGACTTGTTACCAGTACCACACCAAAAATAAGTCAATAAGTTGTTTTTATAAACAATCCTAAACGTCCCCATAATTTTTTTTAAAATAGAATATTGAAAGTTAAAATTTTAATCACAAGGGTGATCTACAATTGGTTTAACCATGGGCTCCAATGGTCAAAAGAGCGTGGAGTTCTCAGGTTCGAATCCAATTAATAATAAAAATTCCGTTATAGACACGGAGGTTCAAACGCGGTGTCTTCAGATTAACCGCTAAGCGGGTGTTTAACTTAGAATTAGTCGGCTCGCATAACAATTTAAATATGGAGTTTTGGAAAAACAAATCGTATATGCAATGACATAGCTTTTGGCGCAAAGATGCATTAAATTTTCATAGTATTTTCAACGGCTATAATAAAATCGGGTCTGACTAAATGACAAAAAGCTTACACTTTCTATCTTTGTCGGCAAAAAAAACCACATTTTTCCCATGTTCGCATAAAAATTTTAAAATTACGGACCTAAGACTATTTTAATAAACCTTATAAAAAATGACTAAGAGATAAAACCAACCGGTCAAAATGGTATAAAAAATTTCTATAACAAACATGAGAAGCTAGTATATGTTATCGATTTCATGTATTCTAGTTCACTTTAAAGATACTTTTTTTAGTCATATATAAATAGAAAAAAGGTAGATCTATCCTATCCTATTTCTATTTTGAAATTAGAAAAAGAATCTATTTCATATTAATAAAATAATAAATACATTTTAATTAATATTTTTCATTCTTGTATTTCTAATTTCAGTAATTTTTATGGGTGGTAAATAATTAAAATATAATTTTTTTTATAAAGTTTCAATATTTTTTCCAGATTTTGGGATTTTTGTCTATTTTTATGCACCATTTAACATGGTTTGTTAAAGTAGAAAAATTCTTAAAAATTCAAAATTTTCTATTTTAATATAGTTGTCGGAGATGTTATTAAGCATTTTTTTAAAACAAACAAAATAGCAGTTTTATGAGCCGTTTACCAAACGTTTATTCAGATTAACACTTACCAAGTTATATAGTCTTAACCAATGAATATGGTAAGGAATAAGAATCTTACTCGGTAAGACGTAGACAATGACCGAGAGTCTTATCCGGGACGACGGCTCTTACCCGGTTAGTTTTCATACAATGTCGTTTTAATGAACTAAAATCTTACCAGGTAAGGTAAATAATAATGTTAAATTTAACCGGATGATGCTTACGAAGTAAGTGTTTGGATAAACGACCTCTTAAATTTAAGGTATATTTTTTTATTAATAAGATTGAATTATCGTTATATATTAATTATATTTATATATTATAGAATTATAAAATATTTTAATAAGATATAATTAATATTATGTTTAAAATACATAATCCATTGGAGTTAAATCCACCAATAACATTGAATTATTATTAGTTTACATAATTATTTTAAATAATTATAATATTTTTTTAGTCTTGGTGTAAAAAAAATGATGTAAACACTATTTTTTACACACTTTTGAGATAAAAATTCATGACTACATTTGTCACGAGATGAAGAAAAAAAATTTCTTTTATTTTTAGTTAATTAAAAATTATAATAATTATTGATTGGAAATAGAAAAATTATTTAATTAGATTTTCAATAACAAGACTTTAATTGTTAACTTTCAAAGCCACATGGTTATGACTTTTATGATACTTTGACCTTTTTTTTTAATTGAATTAAATAATTAATTCCAAATTAAATTATCTCATTTTCTAAAGTAAACTACGTTTTTAGTCCCTGTGGTTTATTAAAATATCTACTTTGGTCCTTGTGGTTTAAAGTTATGGCTTTTGTTACTGTGGTTTGTAATTTGTTTCCATCTTCATCCTTGGAAGCTTTGATGAGTTGTACCGTACAACCCGATATAGCTGCGAATATCAATTATCCCAACGCTTACCCAATGATTCGATGGTAGTTCTATAATTGCCAACTTAGTCCATATAGAGCTTAATGAAAAAAAAACAACCGTACGCTCGCTAACTTGTTAAAATGAACCATTGACTCAAGGGCATTTTAGTCTTTTTTTATAAATTTATTTCAGTTTTTTTTATAAAAACCACGAAACAACAACACTTGTATGCACATGTACATGTCGTATAGATGAACGGTTATTAGAGTGTTCCTCAGTTTTTTTTTCATCATTTTAATACTGTAATTTGGAATGTTACAGGGTTGGAATTGATTTGCCAACAATTGAAGTTAGATTTGAACATGTGTCTGTGGAGGCAGATGCTAACACAGGAAGCAGAGCTTTGCCTAGTTTCATTAACTTCCACATTGATATCTTTGAGGTTAGCATCTTTTGGTGGTTTACAAATTATATATTCGGAATCCGTTTTCCGATTTTTTTATGAAATCGTTTTTATAATTCTCGTTTGTATTTATATTTTATAGACTGCATTGAGCAAGTTCGGTGTGCTTCCGCATGCAAAAAGGCATATAACCATTCTTGATGATGTTAGTGGCGTCATTAAGCCTAGCAGGTAAGGAAGTAAAACACGAATCACCCATCAATATAACTCGATTTCAAATTTTTTTTAGTAAAACGGTCGAATTATATTGTACTTAAAATTTCACAAAAATGTGTTTGTAGGATGACATTACTTTTGGGTCCTCCGAGTTCGGGGAAGACAACGTTGTTGTTGGCCTTAGCCGGGAAACTTGCCAAGGAGCTTAAGGTAAATCACCGATCTTGGTGACTTGTTCTTTTAGAGGGCAAAATGCATCAAAATTCATCGGAGTTTGTATTAGTTTCTATTTGGTGTAACAAATAAATTTTTATTCAGAATCAACGTAAGAAAGTTCCAAAAGTTTCTATTTTGTATCCATTTTAACCGATGTCATGCTGATCTTGTAACATTTGATGACTTGAGTACCCGTTTATAAAAGGGTTACAACGTGGGTACCCACGTCATCAAATTTTATAAGATCAACAAGTTATTGGTCCCTTTTATAAACGGGTACTCAAGTCATCAAGTGTTACAAGATCAACAAGTTACGAGTAAAAAAGGTAGAAAATAGAAAAACTTGAAACTTTTTTACATTGATTGAGAAAAAATTAGAGTAAATTATGTTTTTGTCCATGTAGTTTGTTAAAAATTACAAATTTCATCCTTGTGGTTTCAATATTGCGGTTTTTACCCCTATAGTTTGCAATTTATTGCTATTTTCGTCCCTGAGTCAAACTCTAGTCTTACCTTTTAGTATAAGAGGGTAAAAAGGGATGAAAAGAACAAAAAGTTATAAATCATAAATTCTAAAATATCAATGAAATGTAATCCATAAGGATTGAAATTGTAATTTCAAAAGCACAAGGAAAAAAATAGAAATTTGAACAAACCCTAGGGTCTAAAAATGTAATTTACTCGAAAAATTGTTATGTCTTAGACTAAATAGAAACTAAATCAAACTTCGTTTCAATGCATTTTGACTTTCTTTAGAAGTATGCATTTGCGTCTTACGTTCAATCTAAAGTTACGATCTTTAAATGTAGAGCACGGGGAAGGTGACGTATAATGGCCATGAATTGCATGAGTTTGTACCCGAAAGAACTTCCGCTTATATCAGTCAAAACGATGTCCATATCGGAGAGATGACGGTTAGAGAAACCTTGGCTTTCTCAGCTCGATGCCAAGGGGTTGGATCACGTTACGGTTAGTTGGATCTTCAATGGTGTTATAGTACTATGACAAAATTGGCTTTATAGATTGCTAAATATGTCAGAATGTCTTAATTAACTGCTTTATAGGACTTAAGTTTATAGGATCAAACAATTGTGCATCCTATGTAATCTTGTTACAATAAGTTGATGGACCTAACACATAATTTTAGGACACGTTTTTAAGTGTCGTAAAAAATTTGTTTAGGATGTCCAAACGTCTTATCAACTTATTGCAACATTTTTACATAGGATTCACAGTTGTTTTGTTCTATAAACTTATATCCTATAAAGCAGTCTATTAAGACATTTAGATATATTTGACGTCTTATCAAAATTTGTTGTAACACGATACGTGACAAAGAAGGCATTTTGACAACGGGGTTAATAATAGTTTGTCGTATGAATTACAGAAATGTTAGCGGAGTTGTCAAGAAGGGAAAAAGACGCGAACATTAAGCCCGATCCTGATATCGATATCTACATGAAGGTTCGCAACGAGCTTTCGAGATCACATAAACCTGATTTTTATATCTTTTGAATCGAAAAATGATCGAGAAACCTTATCATTTTTCTTTTATTATATAGGCTGCAGCAACCGAAGGACAAGAAGCTAGCGTGGTCACCGATTATACTCTCAAGGTGCGACAACATAAACTCTTTCTATACGTTTGTATGTATGCCCACTACAGCAAAAATCGGCTTTATAACACGCCAAACATATCTAAATTTCTTAATAGAGTGCCCAATAAGACGCCAAAAATGTCTAAATGTCTGAATAGAATGCTTTATAAGATGCCAAAAATGGCTAAATGTCTTAATAGACTGCTTTATATGATGCAAAAAATGTTTAAATGTCTTAATAGACTGCTTTATACGATGCACAATTGTTAGGTCTTATAAACCAACTCCTACAACCAAGTCTATTAAGACATTTTTGTCGTCCTATAAAGCCAATTTTGTTGTACCGACTCCTAGGAAAACAGAAAAAGAACTCGAGTTAAGCTCTGACATGATCTGTTCACGTTACAGTTGTTGGGGTTGGACATCTGCGCTGATACCATGGTGGGTGATCAAATGATCAGGGGTATCTCCGGTGGGCAAAAGAAACGTGTGACAACTGGTGAAATGATCGTTGGACCATCGAAGGTTCTTCTTATGGACGAGATATCTACGGGTTTAGATAGTTCCACAACTTTCCAAATCGTGAAATCGCTCAAGCAGTTCCTTCACATTCTTGAAGGAACTGCTGTCATTTCTCTCCTCCAGCCAGCACCCGAGACTTATGATTTGTTCGATGACATTATCCTGCTGACCGATGGGAAGATCGTGTATCAGGGCCCGCGTGAACACGTGCTCGAGTTTTTCGAATCTATGGGGTTCAAATGCCCAGAAAGGAAAGGAGTTGCTGATTTCTTGCAAGAAGTAAGTACACTCGATTTCCGTTTGATTTTGAATATAGTTTCTATGATTTCTTGCTTCCGGGATTTATGTTAGGATTTGGGTTACAGGTGACATCAAAGAAAGATCAACAACAGTATTGGATGAGAAGAGACGATCCGTACCGATTTGTGACGGCCAAGGAATTTGCAGAGGCGTTCCAATCGTTCCACGTTGGTCGGAAACTGGGCGATGATATCGCGACACCTTACGACAAAACGAAAAGCCACCCGGCTGCTCTCACAACCGAAAAGTTTGGTTTGAACAAAAAAGAGCTCTTGAAGGCTTGTACGGATAGGGAAATCTTGCTCATGAAGAGAAATTCGTTCGTTTATTTCTTCAAATTGTTCCAAGTGAGCCTTTTCTTTCCCTAACAACCCGTCTTTATTTCAAAACTGTCTTAAAACACTTGTTAGAATGCCCAAATACGTCGCACATGGATAGAATATGTGATTTGTCAACTACTTATAAGCCTCAAGTTGTGGGATACTAATAACTTCCACCATGGTTTTAAGTTGGATTTGAAGTTATTGGGCCAGCCTGTTGCTTTGGGCTTTAGGGTGTTACAAATGGTATCAGAGCCGGGAATCGGACTAGTGCGCCAGCGACCGCTGGTTTCCCAAGGGCTGGATTGTAAGATCCCACATTGGTTGGGAGTGGAACGAAAGTTGCCTTATAAGGGATTGGATACCTTCTCTATCTGACGCGTTTTGAAACTATGAGTCCATGTGTGTGGACGAAGCGGACAATATATGGTACAATTGGCCTAAGATGTTACATGTAACACCTTTATGTAGGACGCACAATTGTTTTATTCTATAAACTCGAGTATTATTAGGACATTTCGACATTTTTGGCGTCTTATAAAGTCAATTTTACTGTAGTTTTATCTTTAAAAGTTCTAATCAGTATCATGTTGTTTTGCTCGGTTGCAGCTACTCGTGTTGTCGCTCATCACTTTAACTGTGTTCTTCCGAACTGAGATGCATAGAAATAACCCGGATGATGGGGGATTATATACGGGTGCTCTTTTCTTTGGGGTCGTTATGATCATGTTTAACGGGATGTCTGAGATCTCAATGACAATCGCAAAGCTTCCCGTGTTTTACAAACAAAGGGATTTCCTGTTTTACCCCTCGTGGGCGTATGCTCTACCATCTTGGGTCATCAAGATTCCCGTTTCGTTTCTTGAAGCTGGTCTTTGGACTGTTCTCACCTATTATGTAGTGGGATTTGATCCTTATGTCGCAAGGTAACACTCTCAAAGAGTCACTACAATAAAATTCGGTTTATAGGACGTGTTTTCCACTTTGCATATGCTTATTTACGGAACCTTTCTTTTCTTTCAGATTCTTCAAACAATACCTCCTGCTCTTGCTCGTTAACCAGATGTCTTCTGCATTGTTTCGGTTCATTGGAGCTTTGGGTCGAAATATGATCGTTGCAAACACATTTGGTTCATTTGCGCTTCTATTGGTCTTTGCTTTGGGTGGCTTTGTCCTTGTCCGAGGTACTAATTTCTTCGAAAATCGATAGAAACGTAATCTTTTCACGTGCTTTTCAGCTAACAATCGTGTTTTCTATTCTAAAGAGGATGTTAAGAAGTGGTGGTTGTGGGGTTACTGGTCTTCTCCAATGATGTACGCTATGAACGGAATTGTAGTGAACGAGTTTCTTGGGCATAGTTGGAGGCGGGTAAGTCGAACAATGCATTGCGTGTGTGTTTATATATATATATATATATATATATATATATATATATATATATACCTTTATATTGTGTGAAGATTGTAACTTTCACATCACCTTCAATTGTGTGAATGTTGTAATCTTCACATGATATAAAGGTATCTTCACAGTTACGACAAACGTTCACATAGCATGACACCTTTGCCTTTTCTTACGTTCCCCGAAGTGGGTTGTTCTAACTGGAACCCAACCCTATATATTTAGGGTCAGGTTCAGGGGAAAACCTCTAGAAAATGAAAAACCGAGGAATACCCTGATAACCAATCATCCGGACACAGTAACTGCCTTATCCGCAACTGCCCTATCCCTAACCGTTGATTGTTTAATTGTGTGGCGTAGATGAAGTTACATTGGTTGCAACATTTAAGAGAGTTGCATTTGATGAGCCCTCTCCCTCCCCCTCTCTTTCTCTATATATATATGTATCGATCAGGAAGCTTACTTTTTTAAATTGCATTTGGTGTTATAGCCGTGGAACGACACAACCTTAGGGAAAACTATCATCGAGTCCGGAGGGTTCTTTGCGGAAGCTTACTGGTATTGGATCGCAATTGCCGCCATGATCGGATTCATTCTTGTTTTCAACTTATGTTTCGCGTTATCTCTTGCTCTCCTCGACCGTGAGTATCTCAATCTTTATCTTCGTTTTCGAGCATTGTTTAAAGGGGTTTGTTTTCTAACATTCTTCATACGCTTCAGCTTTCGGGAAGACTCAATCGAATGCAGCAACAGAAGACAGCACTGATGCAGGAGCCATTGAATTGGCACCGAGATCCGCTGATGATGGCAGCCAGACCAAGAAGAAAGGAATGATTCTTCCGTTTGAACCACATTCGATTACGTTTAACGATGTTAAATACTCGGTCGATATGCCACAGGTACTTTGATCATTACATATAGCGGTAAATGATCCAAATCCGTTGAGTGTATGTCGATTGTTTCTTACCGGTTAAGAGCCGGCTCTTAACCGGTAAGGAATGATGGTATCTACACTTTTGACTGAACGAGGTGGCTGACTGAGTCAGCCACCAATATGTCAATGCTTGGACAAATTGTTTTTAGAGTAAATTAAGATTTTTGTCCCTGTGGTTTGTTAATAATTTCGATTTTCATCCCTATGGTTAAGAAATCGCGATTTTCATCCCTATGGTTTGCAATTTATTGCTATTTTCCTCTCTAGACTAATTACTACCTTTAAGTACAAGGGACCAAAATAGTAAAGAATTGTAAACCATAGGGGCCAAAACAACGACAGATTGTAAATCATAAGGATGAAAATAGCAATGAGTTACAAACCATAGGAACGAAAACCGCAATTTCTAAACCATGAGGACGAAAATCGCAAACTTTAACAACCACAGGGACCAAAAACGTAATTTACGTCAACAACCATTTTCAATCGGTCCTTACCCCGATCGAAACTCTTACCTGGTTAGCGTTACCCAATTTGTGTCAGTAAACGAAGTGTTCATATTACGATAAATGTTGTAGGAAATGAAAGAGCAAGGGGTGAACGAGGATAGATTACTGCTACTTAAGGGCGTGAGCGGAGCTTTTCGACCCGGTGTTCTTACAGCGCTGATGGGGGTGAGTGGTGCCGGAAAAACTACTCTGATGGACGTGTTGGCCGGTAGAAAAACGGGTGGCTATATAGAAGGTGACATTAGGATTTCTGGGTATCCGAAGAAACAAGAAACTTTTGCTCGGATTTCCGGATACTGTGAGCAAAACGACATCCACTCTCCTCACGTTACCGTTTACGAGTCTTTGCTCTACTCGGCGTGGCTCAGGCTCGCTACAGACGTTGACGAAAAAACCCGAAAGGTTCGTGTATGACTTGTATTTTGCCTCGACATTTTTTGATAAATTCTCGGAAAAAACCGCTTTACTCTTTGGGGTAGAAGTCATATTTACATACATCTTAGTATCTTACCTCTGGACCCCACCTCCGGATGGTTTATACGTGGTCCGTTTGGTTTATTTATGAAACTTTATGGGAACCACCGCTCTATTCTTTCGGCTAGAAGTGAAGTCTGCATGCATCCCACCCTCAGGGTGTAAATGAGTTGAGCTTTTAACGAGCTACTCGAGCTCGAGCCCAATAATTCTCGAGCTCGAGTCAACCTCGAATACAAAATAAAGCTCGTTTAACTTAACGAGTCGAGCTCCCTAACACCAATATTCGACTTGACTCGTTTGTAAGCTCGGTTAAACTTTACGAGTCAAGCAGAGCCGAGCCGTTTGAGCATAACACTTTTTCGAGCCACACAAATTTATATATTTACAAATGATATGATCAAAATATAAAAATCATCTTGAGTAAATAAACGAGTTAATCGATCTCGAGTTCGAGTTCATAACGAGCATCGAGCTCAAACATTTCAAGCTCGAGCCCGACTTTGAAAAAGCGTTAATCAAGCTCGTGCCTGATAATTTTTTACAACTTTAGCTCGAATAGCCCGCTACTTGACTCGTTTACACCCCTTAGCGTAGGATATACCGGGGTTCTTTGGTTTGGTTATTTCTGAAAATTGTCTTTTTATCGAGCTATTTGATTTGATTTTGCTTACAGAGTTTCGTCGATGAGGTTATGGACCTCGTGGAGCTGAACCCGTTGCGGGATGCGCTAGTCGGGTTACCGGGCGTCAATGGACTCTCGACCGAACAACGTAAGAGGTTGACCATAGCCGTGGAGCTTGTAGCCAATCCGTCTATTATCTTTATGGACGAGCCAACATCGGGTCTAGATGCTAGAGCCGCTGCTATTGTGATGCGAACCGTTAGGAACACGGTGGACACAGGAAGAACCGTCGTGTGCACCATTCATCAACCTAGCATCGATATCTTTGAAGCTTTTGATGAGGTACGAATCTACTGCCGTTATTACAACTAAGTGTCTTACTTCCCAATTATACCCTTAATTACGAGATCAAGAAATTCATTACTCCATTTATTAACAAGGATAAAATTGTCATTTCATTGTGGACACTTATTTTGAGACGGAGTGAGTACTCTTCAGCTATTTGGTTATAACTGAATCTTGAAATGATCGGTTAACTTGCAGCTTTTCTTGATGAAACGTGGAGGACAAGAGTTGTACGTTGGACCTGTCGGTCGGCATTCTTGCGAGTTGATCAAGTACTTCGAGGTAAGACACTGTTAAAATGTCCGTAGATTTTAACTACTTCTAGACCGAAATACCGGTACTCATTCAGACTGTTTCGGAATCCAGGATATTGACGGGATAGCTAAGATCAAGGACGGATATAACCCCGCAACATGGATGTTGGAAGTCAGTACTTCGGCACAAGAAATGGCGTTAAATGTCGATTTCACTGAAATCTACCGGAATTCAGATCTTTACAGGTTAGTACTACATTAGATCCGATCTCGGTATGATGACCCCTCGGTTTTTTGATTTCTTGACGAAATCAAACGTAACGTTTTTACCATTTGTTCAAATCGAATTCACAGGAGAAACAAAGCGCTTATCGCGGAACTAAGTGTACCACGTCCCGGTACGCAAGATCTCTATTTCCCGACACAGTACTCGCAATCATTCCTTGTCCAATGCATCGCTTGCTTATGGAAACAACGGTGGTCGTACTGGAGAAACCCGCCATACACCGCCGTCCGTTTTGCCTTCACCACCTTCATTGCCGTCATGTTTGGTACTATGTTCTGGGATCTTGGTGGCAAAAAGTAAAAACCCGAAACTTAAACATTCAAAAAAAGTCGAATTTGATCCGGGTTTTCGTTGTACTAATCGTGAAACCATTTCAGGAATGACCGAAGGGATTTGGTTAACGCAATGGGTTCTATGTACGCTGCTACCCTTTTCCTAGGAGTCCAAAACGCGTCCTCGGTGCAACCGGTTGTAGACGTTGAACGAACTGTCTTTTATAGAGAACGAGCTGCGGGAATGTATTCAGCTTTGCCGTACGCATTCGCTCAGGTACAACATCGAAAAACGTCATTTAGACACACGATTACAGTCTTGTTTCGTTCTCCCAATGGTCTGTTTGTTAGCAACTTAATGGGCTTAAATGTGACTCTCAGCTTATTAACTCAGCTATACATGATTACTTGTTAGTGGCTTATTCAATAAGCTTTATTCAGAAAGACAAGTTTTTTACAAACATGCCTCTTCCAATTAAAAACACGCTTTTCCTGTCTATTAAAAAACCCTTCTAAACAAAAACTTTCCGGTCTATACAGACAGATTAATCCATGTTGACAGCTTTATTCATATACAGAACTTAATGGAAAATCAACCAAACAGTCGTTACTCTTGCAACTGTTCAGTATCGCTTCGGGTTTCTTACATTCTTTTGTTTTCCGCAGGTTCTTGTTGAAATCCCGTACATTCTTTCACAAACCGGAGTTTACTGTGTTATAGTGTACGCGATGATCGGGTTCGAGTGGACCGCGGCCAAGTTCTTCTGGTACACGTTCTTCCAGTTGTGCTGTTTACTCTACATGACATACTACGGTATGATGACCGTCGCCATTACACCCAACGCCAACATCGCAGCCATCATCGCCGCCTCGTTTTATGGACTTTTCAATCTCTTTTCGGGATTTATTATTCCCCGACCGGTAAGTTCACCAACGAACCATCGTTTTTTTTATTATATACTATCTACGTTCCAAAATAAATTTCTACAATGAAAAAGATACTATTATCCTTTTTATTTAACTAAATGCCAAATTTACCCTTAATAGGAGTAACGAATTTCTTTTTTCTCATAATTTTGAGTAGAATTAAGAAAATTGACTCTTTCTTTTAAAAGTAGACACCCCACACCTCGGCTAGGATCTATCGGTAATCCAGATCTCGCTTGGTCATTGACCTTTTAGTTTGTTCGTGTGAGATCTGAACTCGTTCTCCTATGGTGTGCAGACTACGGGAAAAAAAATATGGTCCCGTGTTTGGCATTTTAATAGTATTGTCCTAGGTGCATTAGGGGCAATATAGTCATTTTAACATTATTTTGGTCTAGTCATACCAAACAACAAACAATTGGTGACGAAAAATAGTGTTTAGCCTCAAGGACGAAAATAGAAATGAAACTATAGTGACGAAAACCGGAATTTCAAAACCACAAGGACGAAATTTGAAATTTTTAACAAACCACAAGGACGGAAAACGTAATAAGAATACATTAGTCGGATATAGGCTTGTTCCATGGGAGGAGGTTGGAACATGCCTGTTCCACCCTGTTCCCCTGTTCCCCTGTTCCTCATAAAAGTCATATCAAACGCGCAACAGTGATGCTTGTTCCGTCATGTTCAATGTACCAAAAGCACGCCACCTGTCATGTACAATTGTCCTATGTTTTTTTTTTTTTGTTTTTTGTTCATATAATTGCACTTTCTGATATAATTCTGGTGGCGTTTTCAGAGTATTCCGGTGTGGTGGAGATGGTATTATTGGGGAAACCCATTGGCGTGGACTCTTTACGGCATGGTTGTATCGCAATTTGGGGACTTAGACGGCCCAGACGACGTGCTTAGCAGTGGCGAGACGGTGAAAGCGTATTTGGATGATCATTTTGGTTTCAAGCATGATTTTCTCGGCGCCGTCGCCGGAGTTCATGTCGGCTTGGTGCTAATTTTTGCTTTCATCTTTGCATATTGCATTAGGGCTTTCAATTTCCAGAAGAGATAAGATCAGAACACTACGTCGTTTATTTGAACCTCTTTTTTTTTAATTATATTTTTTTAGTTAATTAAATAATTTTGGTACCTTGAGTGTTAAATAGTTGTAAAATTGCATGTACTAAATTTCTGATTGGTGCCGAAGAAATATTTTTGGGATCTCGTTTATTTATTCAATATGTAATCGGTGATCTTAAAATGTAATGTTTGTGATAAAAAAAAACCCCTAAAGTATACGATGATATGAAGTTCATAAGTTTTCTTTATTTTCAACTAGAATTTGTGCATAAGTCAAACAAGCTATTGATGAAAGAAAGAGAGGGATATATATATATATATAAAGGGTTGGGTTCACGTGAGACCAGTTTGTTTTCGTGAGATCCGTGAGACCACATTTTTATACTTGAAACTTCACAGCAAAAACACTGTGAATGTTACCTTCACAGCAAAAACACTGTGAAGGTTACCTTCACAGCATTTTGCTGTGAAGTTTCAAGTGTAAAATTCTGGTCTCACGAGTCTCAGGAAAACAAGCTGGTCTCACGTGATCCCAAGTATATATATATATATATATATATATATATATATAGAGAGAGTGAGAGAGATTCATACGAGAATGAAAAAAATTAAAAAAAATAATATATTCACATGACAAAACTGGTAAATTGACCAAAAAATGGATTTTTGTTCAAAAATGAATCATCACTTCTGCTCGTTGCATGCCTTGATCTACTACTACACAAATAGCATTTTTCGCTGAACGGAAAGATCCATTAGATAATGAACTATTGGTTGGAGGTTTCTCGTGAGGTTTTTTTTTTCCTCACAAGTCATAACTATACGACCTACTTTTTTCAGAGGCTTTTCACATTTAATCAGTTTTAATTTTATAGAATTTTGATAAAAGTTTCTAATTATATTTAAATATAACTAATAAGTAAGTTGATTTTGAGTAAGAATAATAGTTATTGTGAGAAGAGTAAGAAGAGATTTTCATCTTTATATATCAATTCATGGTTTATTTTGGAACCTAATCAGATCCATTAGATCAACACTATATCAAGTGATCAATGATCCAAATCACTTGTTACACTTATCACCTTAACTTTATTCTCACACGATTGCTAATCTAACTAATAAATACATAATTAAATTAATTATATTTTTATATGTATATTTAAATTAAGAAAAAGAAATTCATATAAAGTTTTAGGGCCATGTTTAACGGAAAATCGAAAAAATATAAAAACTAAGATACACTGTAACTATTCATCTAGACTATATGTACATTTGTATACAAGTAATTTGGAAGTAATTTGTCCGATATGCATATCGGATAACATGCACATGTGCATAAAAACAATTTTTTTAATTATATATATACATATTATATAGGACAAATTGCAAGAAAAAGTAACTTACTTTAACTTAATTTTTATTTCGGGTAACATGTTTTCAAAACTTTCATTTTTTGGTACCTAAGATGTAAAATTTTGAATATTTAAGTATCCGGGTAATCAGTTAATGCTTCAACTGGTTACCTGGGTACTTAAATATTCAAAATTTTATATCTAACACATTAAAATGGAAATTTTGAAAACATATTATCCAAAATAAAAATCAAGTTAAACTACGTTTTTTTTAATACTTAAATTATGTGTGTGTATATATGTATGCATTCAAATGAGGAAAAAGTACAATAAAAACCAATGAACTTTCTTGTTTGGAATGATTAAGTCCTTGAACTTTTTTTTAGAACAAATAAGTCCTTGAACATTCCAAAACATGTTAAATAAGTCCTTGGACATTCCAAAATATGTTAAATAAGTCCTTGGACAATTTTTGGAACAAATAAGTCCTTGGACATTCCAAAATATGTTAAATAAGTCATTGGACAATTTTTGGAACAAATAAGTCCTTGGACATTCCAAAAAATGTTAAAAAAGTCCTTGGACAATTTTTGGAACAAATAAGTCCTTGAACAATCCTAAACATATTAAATAACTTCTTCAACTTTTATAAAACATGTTGGATAC